AGCATCTCTTATCATAAGGGAAAATGCAAATCAAAACCAAATGAGGTACCACTCAATAGAATAGCTCAAATTTTAAAAATACAGAATATTAAGTGATAGTGGGGCTGTGGTACAAAGGGAACTCTCTTATACAGTTGGTGGAAATGTAAATTAATACAACCACTGTGCAGAATGGTATGGAGATTCCTCAGAAACTTACCAATGAAACTGCCGTAAGACTCAGTAATTTCACTCTGAAGTATTTACCCAAAGGATAGAGAAACCCTCAGTTGTAAAAACACTTGCATATCCGTATTTATTGCAGCATTATTCACTATTGTTAGGACTTGGAATCAACCCAAATGTCCAAAAATATATGAGTGGATTGAAAAAATGGGGCATATGTCCTCTATGAAATACTACTCAGCCATAAAAAAAAAAATGAGACCCTGATATTTAATACGAAGTGGATGAATATGGAAGACTTAATGCTAAGTGAAAAAAGCCAAATTATGAAAAATAGACTTTGCATGTCCTTGCTCAATATATACTGAATGTTTGTGTTCTATAGCAGAAACTGAAAGATTGGGATGTATAATAGCAGGGAGGGCAACTGTAGATACTAGAGATAGTAAAGAGAAGGGTAATAGAGGGGTGGGTAACAGGGAGGGAAGGAAGGGAACAGGGAAAATCAAATGAACATTTAAGTGACACAAAAATGAAAAGTTATTTACTGATTATAATGTACATGGTAATGTCTTTGTCTTGACTGATATGCACTGTATTCATGCTGGGAAAAGCCATGTTGTATAGTCATTAAATGTAAAGACTAAATATAAAAACATAGTCAATAAACATAAGTGTATATGACAAACTATTAGAGGAAAACATAGGAGTAAATTTTCATGACCTGAGATCAGGCGATGTTTTCTTAAGACAGCAAAAGTATAAGCAACAAAAGAAAAAAATTGATATTTTGACTTTGTCAAATTGAAAATTTGTGTATTTCAAAGGTCACCCTCAAGAAAATGAAGACAACCCATGTGACGGGAGGATATAGTTTACAATCACATATATGATAATAGACTAGTGCTAAAAGAGACCCTTACAATTCAACAATAAAAAGAAAATACAACTTAAAAATGGGCAAAGGATCTCAAAAGACATTTCTCAAAGATGTACAGATGTCCATAACCACATGAAAAGACTGATTCATGAAAATATGACTGAAAATATTTAGCCATCAGAGAAATGTAAATCAAAACTACAGTGTGATAACACTTTACAGCCACCAGAATGACTGTAATCAAAAAGATAAATAACAACAAGCATGATGAGGAATTGAAGAAATGAAAACATTTATACACAGTTAGTGGAAATGTAAAATAATGAAGCTGCTTTGGAAGTTTGGAAGTTCCATTGTTAAACATAGAACTATCATAAGATCCACTCCTACATATATTCACTGAAGAAATGAAAATAAGTACTCAGAAAATTTGCACACCAGTGTTCATAGCAGCATAATAGCAAAAAAGCAGAAATAAACCAAATGTCCACTAATTGATTAATGGACAAAGAAAACATGTTTCTGTCCACACAATGGAACACTATTAAACAATAAAAAGAAATTAAGTGCAGACGTGTGCTGTAACATGAAACTCAAAAGCATGGTAACTGGAGGAGGCAAGGGAGCAGGCCTCAGAAGACAGCTTCATGGCTCCTGAGAACTAGTGATTCCAGGGAAAAAAGAAATGTAGATTTTCTACTGATAATTTAGCCTCCAGCCCACAGAATTGAGTGGTAGGAGCTCCCTCAAGCCTTCTCTCTGCCTCTGCCTCTGCTTCCATCTCCAATTTAAAAATTTTTTTCTTTTAAAAATGTTTTAAGGTAAATCATTTTCTCGGCTTTCAGCCCCTCCTCTCCCTTTATCTTGTTAATAATCCCTTCTCCTTCTCCCAACCCAGGAGAGGCAAGAGAGCAGGCCTCAGAAGACACCTTCATGGCTCCTGACAACTAGTGAGTTCACGTGGCATGCAAGAGTGTCGTGCAGTTTTCTAATTTTTGTGTTTTTTAAAAAAATAAAAATTTTTTTAGGAATTTTTTTTTTAGTTTTTTTCTTTTCTTTTCTCTGTTCCTTAGATGTTTTTGTTGCTGTTGTTTCTCTCTCTCTGTTCCCTTTTCTGCACGCTCCTGGATGCTCAGATTGAACTTCAACTTTGGGAAGAAACACACCATTCATCAGATGACTAGAAATCACTGCAAGGGCACAAGGAATATAAGAAAGCAAGAAAATACCTCTCTTCTAAGAGAAAAGAATAACTCCTCTTCATCCACAGACAGTTCAACAGAAATCATGAAAATGTCTGATAAAGAACTTAAAACATTCATAATGGTGAAGTAACAGAGATAGAAGAGAAGAGAGACAATGAACTGCAGAAGAGAAAGGAGAAAGGAGCTGATGAGTTCCAGGTGAGGAAATTCTTGCAAGATCTAAAAGAGGAACTACACACTTTACAAAAGAACCAAATGGAACCATTAGAGATGAAGACTATAATACAATAAGCCAAAATCTCTTTTTAAAGTATTAAAAGCAGACTAGATCATACAGAAAATAGAATCTCAGACGTGGAAGAGAAAATTGCTGGCCTAGAAAAATCCACCACGAAGACTGAGAAAATGACCCAAAAATTTGACAATAATATATGAGAAAAACTAGATACCATTCAATGTCCAAACATCTGGATAATTGGCATCCCAGAAGGCGAAGAGACTCATAAGGGCATTGATAATCTATTCCACGAAATCCTGCAAGAAAACTTTACAAACCTAGAGAGGCACTCAAAGATCCAGTCCCAAGAAATACAAAGGACCCCAAATAGAATGAACCCAAGAAGGTCTTCTCCAAGATACATTATAGCCAGACTGACCAAAGCCACAGACAAAGACAAAATACCAAGATTGGCAAGAGAGAAACAGTAAGTTACCTACAAAGGATATCCCATCAGACTAACAACAGACCACTCATTGAAAACAATGCGAGCAAGGAAAGAATGGGGAAATATATTCAAAGTGTTAAGGGAAAAGCAATTTCAACTGAGAATATTGTACCCAGCAAGATTATCCTTCATGTGGGAAGAAAAGACAAGAACATTCTCAGATTCACAAAACCTGAAAGAATTTACCAGCACCAAGATCTCCAAGAAGTTCTCAAGAGAGTGCTATACCAGGAAAATTAAATGCAGATACACAGAAATAAGAGTTAAAAAACTAAGAAAATGGTCAACTTAATCATAGGGACAAGTCTGGAGTTGAATATTATATCCCAGAATTCAATCAGGAAGATGGAACCACAACAGAAGATAGATTAAGTACATGAGACTGAACTGGTGAAATAGCATTCTGTGACTTTTGACTAAAATATTGCTGCTTTTCTTCTAGGCAAAAAAAAAAAAAAAAGTAGAAAACTAAACCAAATCAAACATGGTAACTGGAAGACACAAGTCACAAAAGATCACATTTATAAGAAATGTTCAAAACAGGTAAATTTATAGAGATAGAAAGCAAATTGGTGGTTTCATAAAGCTGAGGGAGTGGGGACAGAGAGTGACTGCTAATGGATAAAGAGTTTGCCTGTTGAGTGATAAAGTGTTCTACACTTAAATTACAATTAAAGATGCACAATCCTGTGAATGCACTAAAAATTACAAAACCATACACTTTAAAAAAGTGAAATTTATGGTATATGAATTATATTTCAATGAAGATGTCAAAAAAGGAAATCATGGTAAAATAATAATTATATTAATAGCATGGTTACTTTTCACATGGGAAATAAAAAAAGGAAGGGAATAACTGGTAATATCCAAGATCAGGAGTGGTAAAGTGGGGGGCAAAAGATTTGATGGTTCAAATTAATCAAATGTGAATGTCATTTAATTAGTTTCATAGGATTTGGAAAAAAAATAGCTATTTCATGTAGAAAAAGAAGAGACTGTTTCAACCTTTCTATATTTTCCACATCCAGAACTGGGTAATAAATCCAATACCTTCCTTTTCCCTTTTGTTGAATGAATGGAAAGTGTGCAGTGAAGCTTGACTTCACCAAAATTCCCTGTATTTAGATTTTCCCAACAAGTACAATTAACTTCTGCTTCAAAATTTTTTACCCCTACATTCAAATTCCCAAAGAAGTGTTGACATTTATTAATACGATCAACAGCCAATTTCCATTGCTTGGTAAAAACTAGAAATCTTCCTGAAGGGCAGATATTCTTAAGGGCAAATCGGTTCTAAAATGGGAAACAAGTTAGCAGATCTGGCTTACAATCAGAAACATGCTGAATGCAATACAACAAGAAGCAAGGATTTAATTTTCTAGTAAATATTTTGAAAATTGTTTATAAAACTCACTTAATACTAAGAAATTCACTTACTTTTCTTCTATCTGCCAAACATACATTTCTCAACTAACAAAATGAAAGCTTTCATTTTAAGGAAGACTTGATCTAAACTTTTACTTCAAATACAGATATGTTCATTTTAAGGTATTCTCCAATAGATATAAACATCATAAAATGCATCTATTTTAAGTTCTATTAAAAAGAATTCAGTTTTTTCTAGAGTTCCATACAGCATATTTTTGTAAATAAAACAATGGAATAGTTTAATTTCTACGTGTCTAGATTTCCTTACAGCATATTTTTGTAAATAAAACAATGGAATAGTTTAATTTCTACGTGTACTGTAAAATTCAGAGTCCTAAAAATAAAACTTAGAAATTACATTCAAATTGCCCTCTTTCTACTACTTTCTGTTTTTCAGCCTTCTAAAAAAGATATTACTCACCTGAAATTACTACTATATTATTTAGAAACTCCAGGGACACATAAATTATGTTTCTAAAAGTACTGAGTTTATTTTAAAGCATTTCATCAAGTTTGAATATCAGTAAACAAAGCCATGTCTTCATTATGTGTTGATTTTGGCAGAAGGTAGACTTGCATACAAGAGATACGATAAAGTAGTTTAAAGTAAAAGATGTTTATTTTTAGTAAAAAAAAAAGTAGTATGGAACTAAATACTACATGTATATCTTCTGGGTAAATGATTTAGGTCATGTGTCTTGTCTTTATTTTAAAAGTCTTCAGAATTAAAAATTTTAAAGTTGCCCCTTTTGTTTGTGCTTGTGCTCTTTCCTGCAATATAGGCAAGGAAAAGATTCTCTCTGCTTAGATTACTATACTCACAGAACATATACCTAAACTATAACAAAAAATGCCAGGTATCTCAGAAACAGTGGCATTTATATCACAAGGGGGAAAATCACTAAGATTTCTTTTAGCAAAAACCCAAGGAAAAGCAATCTTGGGAAATGATTGACAACCTATTTGATAATAATTAAAAGTCTGAGCTCTTAGCAAGAGGATGCCATTTTAAACATTTTTACTTTTCTATTTCCACGATATACACATATATATTTCACTGAGGCAAGAACTTAGAAATGATTCCATCATAGCAGTGAAGTTAAACAAGGAAGTTGGCAACTGAATGCATCTATTACTTTTTCATGGGAAGACATGAGAGGCTATATTTAGAACACTGGAAAACTTGTGTTTCAGCACACAGAAGTTTTATCTACAAAAAAATGGGAATGTAATAATTACCATAGGAAATTACAATGTTTAACATATAAATGTTATTTGCAAGTACTTTTCTAAACACAATAATATCACATCAAAAAGGTACATATTCTTGTTCATTAAAATTAACAAGACATTTTGGGAACAATGGACAGGCTTATTCTCTCTCTCCATTTAAAATTCCTCAATGTTGAGCTGGAGATATATTTAAACTGCAAAAATATCAATTAAAAAGGGGGAAGGGCATTTTCTTTGTAAAATCATTGAAATATATAAAATGCCTTGGCAGAAAAATTCTATTTCATGATATCTACTTAAAATTTTATGTTTATCTCCCCTTCTCCTCTGCATAACATTCACATTTTATTATGTATTCATTTTGATTGTTTGCATGCTAAAACACCAACTAATCTATTATTTTGATATTAAGCCTGTTTCTTCTGAAGCCAAGATAATTTTGCTATTTTCTAAAAGCAATGAAGACTCATTTTTCAGGATGCTGAAAGTGGAATGCTGAAGGTTTATACTTGCTGCTTTGCCTGGGCTTCTGCTTCCTGAAATGAAAAACAAACAAAATAGGTAAGTTTGGATAACATAAAGTAAACATCCATATATATTTTGTTTAGACTACATTAACTCAAATTACAAAGAATACTCAAAAGCAGAATAATAGCCTCTAGAAGAGGTTGATTAAAACATTCTTTATAGAAAAACTATATTATGGAAGCTGCTATCTAGAAACAGACATAATAAAACACTGCCCAATCACTATTAAGGCTTTTAAATAATTCTATAAACACAAGTGATTTACAGTTATAATTAATATTATATTCTAAAATATTCAACTAGTTTCTTTTTGTGTTTTTTTCCTCACAGAAACCGAGGGCACAAAATCACTGTTGCCTAAAGTTTACAACTAGTTGAATTATGTTTAAAGTTAAAATTATTTAGAGAATGTAAAATATTGTTGCTTTATGTTTTGTGATAGTGGGTACAAAAGAGATCAGGTCATCTTCTTTCTCTTCCTCTAGCATTAGGAATTCTGATTTCTTTGTGCTCTGGCATTCAATAGTACTTGACACAAAATAAATGTCAAAAAAAGTTCAACTATAAATGTTTAACTCTGACAAAAGAAGTGTTAAGACTTAAGTTGTAGAAACCAAGTGTGCTAAACCATATCACTGTAAACATTTGTCACTAAATGTATATATCAAAATAAGCATCTGATACTAGGCCCAAAAGAAGGAAAAAAAGTAAAAAAGACACATTTTTTTTACAAAAAAAATAGGCAAAAATTAAATAAAGAAGGAAATGAGAAAAGACACTGTTTTTCACTTTTAATACATCCTTGACAAAACAGGTAAAATATATTGGGTCATTGAAAAAGTCATGACATATTTTTCTGTTTTTCCATGTAAAAATGTGTTATGACTTTTCCTACAATCCAATATTATACCTTTCAAAACATCCAGTTAAAAAAAGAGAAAGCCTCTAAGCTCTTTTAAAGCTTTTAACAGTGTTTCATTATCCAAAATGAGTATGTCTTAGACCTAAAATATGCATCTTGTTTCATTTTACAGAACAAGCTTTCAAGAATTTCATCTCATAACACAAGTTATATGCTAAGACCTTTCTTTAATAGAAATTTCTTGCCCAGACATGCAAAATAAAAGGCACTTCAAAATTCTTTGGAAATTTTGGGGAGTACATAATTTGCCTTTCTAATTATGTTTTATTTATCAAATACATAAATTGAACTGAAAGCTTTATTAATACCGAAGAGCAAGCCTTTAATATTCACAGTATCATGAATCATCTAACCAGAGAGCTTCAGAAATAAGTGTATGAGGTGTTCTCCCCCCTACTTCCAATTTAAACATTCTATTATATAAATGCATTGGTTTTGGGTTAAATAATTCTGGGATCAAATTCTAGCTCTGCTCTTCAATCACTATGTATCACTGGACAAATTACTTAAATTATCTGCATATGAGTTTCCCCCTCTGTAGAATGGCCTTAATGACATCAATAACAGCTCATGGGACAAAGTAAAGATAAAGTGAGATATATGTGAAGTGCCTAGGTCAGTACATTGTCCATTGCAGACATCCACCCTACTTTTCTGCTTTCTCTCTCTCTCTCTCTCTCTCTCTCTCTGCCTAACTGAAACCAATTTCACAGCTAGATGTAACTAACATACAATCTCTCTTGGAGATGCAGTAAGAATATGGTGAATTCAGTGTAAATGGGATTGCTTCAAATCTCACATCAGAGGCAGACTCTAGGGCCCCTTTCTGGAGCAGGGTGATTCAATCAAAGCTAATAGGAACATTTTGATAACCAGCACCCTCATATCCTCAACATATTAGTAAATAAGCCTTTTCCAGAGGAGTTGTTTTCTTCTCAGCATGAACATCATTAGAGTTTTATTTTTAGTGAAAATATCAATTCTTTTCTTTTTAAGATTTTGTTTTTCCATAGGGTGTGTGCACTTGCTCGAGAGAAACAGAGATGGAGGTACGAAAGTGATAAAATTATCCCCCAGAAGGGATGGCCATGCCACAATCCCTTCTCCTCCATTCTTCTCTTGGGATTTTGGGCATACATACATGCCCAGTGTGATTTTTCAAGCCACTGGGTCAGGGACTCAAATCGCAGTCAGCCTTGTGTGAGTCCAGTGTCATAACCACCACGCCAAATGCTGAATCCCAATTATTTTATTTCTATCTTAAAACCATAACCTCTACTTATAAGAAATGCTAATACTAATAAATGATCTTTTGTGCAATAAAATAAATAATAAATATTTATATGCATTTTTTTTTAAAAAGGATCAAATAAATAAATAATAAATATTTATATGCATTTTTTTTAAAAAGGATCTAATTTACAATAGGATATAAAAATTATTTGTTTTTCACAAAATGACTCCTTGCTTTGTGAAAATACTTGCCATAGGGTACTTTTAATATGAACGTCTCCAGTGTGTTGGTTTTCAGTAATTTTGACATGTAAAATGCATGCTAATTATTTAGAAAATAGAGAATGGGAGGAAAATATGTACATTAGCTATGGTTCCTTCCAGTGTCCTTTTTGTGCTACTCGATTCTTAATGCAATTAAAATTGTAATTATACTGTAAAAATGTATCTGGGGGCCAGCAAGTGGTGTAAGGGTTAAAGCATTGGATACCCATATGGCTGACCATGGTTGAGTCCTGGACCCTGCTGCTTGACAATCATGCCATCATACACACCCAAAATTTCTGGAGAATGGACTGTGGCATGGCAATCCCTCTCTTGGGGATGAGATTTATTACTTTTCCTCTACCTGACTGTCTCTGTCTCTGTCTGGTGAGCACACATGCCTTATGAGAGAAGCTTTTAAAAAAATCTGTAGCTCATTTTAATATTTCCTTTCACAATCTATCATTTTTTTAATGAGAATACAAGTTCACTCAATGGATCAACTATCAATATTCTTTTGGACGTTTAATTTGCTTCCAAATTTCAGGATAATATATAACACCTTGATTCATATTTTTAATCCATAAAGTTCATTCAGTGGAGAAATTGATCTTGTTGACCCTCCTGTTAAACGTTTAACTTGTTTCTAAAGTTTTAAGAATATAAATAACATTCTGACTCATGTTTTTATCCATGAAGCTTTTCCCATGTAGAGTTATTTCACGACATATAACACCATGTGAACAAGTACAAACATTTCTGGGATTCCTGATAAATCTCTGCCATTCTGGTTTTCAAAAGGAATGTAAATTTATACTACCATAAGTAATACATGAGAGCATCTGTTTGAAGCATCCCTTTTCTCAACATTGTTATCCTTTTATCTTTGCCTGTTTCGTAAATTGAAATTGTATGTCATTTTATCACATTTATTATCAGTGCACTTTTCTAATTTTTGTTAACTAGTTGAAATACTATTTAATATGTACTTTCTGTTCAACCAGTTCTTTCTTGAAGGTTTATTTTCTTAGTAAATTAAAGAAGAAAAAAAAAAAACTCCAAAAATTGAACTGAAGGGCAGAAAAACCCTTATTCGGATACCAAATCTATCACTTTTAGTCTTGAGGGGAAAAGCCTATTAAATACAAACATTCAATATTTCCCTATCACCAATCCATCCTTTATCTCCACTGTCAATTCCAGATCTTATCTTTTTAACCCAATCTATCAGTTCCGTCTTGTCTAATCTTTACAACATCTGCTGTTCTTTTACTCTATTCCTACTCCCAGGCTTAAACAATAATGGGAAAAACACTATAACTGAGTTGACTGGTTCCACTATGAGCTCATCAGTTCTAACTATAGTTAGGCCCCTGCCCAAGCATCCTTTCATTTATTATTTTAGCCTAATCCTTAGCCTATTTTCAAAAAGTATTTCTTTTCAATTTCTTCAGGATTCTAACGTTCCAAAGTTCATCTCACTCTTAGAAGATAACTTTTCTTTCTCCCTCACACTGAAAGTAAGACACTTTCAAATGTTAGCTCTCCTAATCTTCCCACACATTAAACTTTCTGTAGTTTTTATCCTTTATATCTCTCTTCATATCCTCTACACACCCCACACAATCTCCTTTCCAAGATCTATTCATCCCATGGATCATGCATTATTCAGTTTTCTCCATGACCTTTGCTTAATTTCCCAACCTCTTAGATTAGAGGCCCCAGAGATAGCTTTAATTCCTCCCACGTTTTAAGATGTATAACCATACCATTAGGTGCTAAATCCTATAACACATGATTTTTTTTTTGTCACTTATATTCATCTGTACCTTTCCAAGGCTGTTGTCCCAATTTAGGCATTCTTAATCACATTTTTGGGCTCTTAAGCTATCTCAAATGGGTTTGCCTATCTCTAATATCTTATTTCTGCAATATTTCATAATTTATACAGCTGCCAAATTCATTTTTAGTTTATTTTTCTTTTTTTTTTTTTGCCATAGAGTATGCGTGCTCATTGGAGAGACACAGAGAGAGGAAGTGAGAAATTACCCTCTGGGGAGATAGCCATGCCACAATCCCTTCTCCTACATTCTCCTCTTGGGATTCTGGGCATGGACACACACACACACACACACACACACACACACACACACACACACACACACACACACAGTATAATTTTCAGACCACTGGGTCCAGGACTCTAACCATGATCAGTCATGTGGGAATCCAATACCTTAACCACCATGCTACTTGCTGGCCCACCAAATTCATTTTTATAAGATATGGATTACATCCTCTCTTAAAATACAGAGATAATCACATAATTGTCTTACTCCATTCCCAATCATAGTTTTTGCCTAGAGAATAAAGCTGAAAATTACCTAGCACAGAAATCATCATCTGGCCCCAACTTACATAGCCCATAGCCAACTTCACCTTCTAATACAACCTTCTCTGTTTAATATTTTGGAGCCAATTTAGTCTCTGAACATACCATCATGCATTGCTGTATCCCAATGCAGTGTTTCTGTTGCTGTTTCTGTGAAAAATATTTTCATGTCATTTCAATATTTTGGAATCCCCAACAGTTCAAATGTCCTGCATGAAACCTTTCCTAACCTCCTTAATAGAAACTTATGATATTTCCACTGGATTGTTCAGTATTTTATTCACACTGATCTTACAGGATTTACCACAGTATGTCTTGAATCATAATTATTTATACAAGTATTTGCTGTATAATTATTTGTATACATGTCTTTCATGATGTTATAATATTTTATAGACACTATGCTGTATTCTCTGTATTTGTTCCATCAATTAATAATCAAATCAGTGTTTGACACTAAATAAATACTTATTGAATGAGTAGATCAATAAGTGAATCTTAATTTTTTTAAAGTCTTTAAGTTAGTTCATACATGGGAATGATCCGATAGCTCTCATTAAGATGTCCTTCCAAGTGTCCTTCAATTGCACATGGACATACATGTAACCAAAGGGATTTGTGCAAGCAGTACCATGCTACTTTCAGACTTAGTTTTGCCACAACTCTAGAGTGCTATTCCCAGTCTGCCTTACATAGCTGTTTTACCATTTTTATTTATTTATTTATTGGCTTCTTTTTCTTTTTCTCCTCCTTTGTCAGTTTTTTTCTTTTCTTCTCTACTATCAACTTCTTTCTCTTCTCCTTTCTCGGCCTTTTCTTCTCTACTGTCAGCTTCTTCCTCTCCACCATCGTTGGCTTCTTTCTCTCTTTCTCTGTCCTGAACACTGATATAAACTGCTTTATTATAGCCTTCCCGGTTTCGAGCAATTTCAATGGCAAAAAATTGAATCCTGGGGGCAAAGATGGTGTTTTCCTCAGTGTAACCCTGAGAACAATCTAGTCGTAACAAAGTACCATAGTTGAAGTCTTCTACAATCCCATCAAACTTCATGCAGAATGGCCTCCACATCTCTTTAGCTGATTCTGATTTGAGTTCTTCTGGGTCCAATACATTTATCCTGAGTTTCTCAAAAATTTCCCGGAACTCAGAGTAGATTTGATCATTCACTTTGGTGAGTTTCAGGAACTGTGGATCAACTGATGAAATCAGCTTGTAATAGACTTCAGCATGCTGCATTGCTCTCATGACCCAAGCTATCTCAATGTCGGGATCATTTCCATATGACTCTGCTGGGAGCAAAAGAGGATGGGCCACAGACACCAGCTCCCTGGAAACCCGCTCATCAGTTCCACTAGAAGCATCTATGTTGCATGCAGCCCAGAAAGCGTGGCTTCACCTTCCCAGAAATGATATTTTTGCAAGCTCCTCCCCTGAATCTTAATTTTAATTGAAGGGGAAGAGTCATCAGTCACAGACTATCTTTTTTTTCATACTTTCTCTAATCTGCAGTGAACTCAATGACTTAACTTGGGTCTTTCTAACTTACTTAAACAAGAGTGTCTTACCTAACTTATGACTCAAATTATACAAAACTTAAAATATAACACTTTATTCATAGAGAAAGGAAATTTGGCAAGTAAACAACCTCATAGTGATGCAAACAAAATGCTCGTAAACTGTCTCTAGTGAAAACAGTGACAATAGCACAGATTTTCAAAACTGGAAAAGAAGCAAGTGTTTGAATAATCTGTTGCTAAGAGTAAAAATAAAATGATAGAGCAGAGGAGATACATTTTGTTCAAGCCCAGCTTCTCTGAAGACTTACTGTAAAGACCAAAGGTATATTTATATCCATAGGTTTGAGACATTTCATTAGACAGTAACTTACTTTTCCTTCCTTTCTTTATGTGATCTCCCATGGGAACACTACCACTTGGAAAGTTGATTTTTGTTGGCAGGGGAAAGTCCCAAATTTAACCAGAAATTTGGTGATAAATTTTGCAACTCAGATGCTCTTAGTTAACTTGAAAGGATGACTATTGTTTGCTCTCATACAGGCAATAAATGTTGCCAAGGAGATTACCATGAACTAAGATGCTGTTGATATAGAACTGTGCGTGACACCTGGAATAATGCAGTCTCTTAAAATTGTTAACCATTTATTTGTGAGTGGTGATGGGGAAGTCTCTCTACCTATCCTTCCTACACACATACTTTCTGTATTTGGTTAAGCAATCTACCTGTCTTACTAGGGACTAAATATATACAGAGCAGTGGTTTTAACTTTTAGCTATGATGCACTGCCTTTGACTTAATCTAAATACTTAATAAGGTAGAAATCTGACTAATTAAAAATCCAGCAGCAATGAAATGACCTACAAAGCAGGATAAAAAAGAATTCATACCTTTGAACCAGGTGGTGCTGTCAAGCCTAAAAAGGCATACACTGCATTATTTTCTCTGGCTTCAAAGAAGGCATCGTAATCCTTGGTGAAAAGAAGGCAAGAAGAATTAGACATTCAATATATACTGAATGTCTGTACTCTATGGCACAAATTGAAAGACAGAAGGTATGAAAGCATGGAAAGCAACTATGGATACTTGATAGCATAGGAGAAGGATGTGAAATTGGAGTCTGCGAGGGAAGGGTTCAAGGGGAAAAAGAAAGAAGCAAAACATTTAAGGGAGGCAAAAATGGAAACTTATCTGTTGATGATATTGTGTACGGTAATAGCTTTGATGGGATGAACATATAGTGTATTGTTGATAGAAAAATTCATTTGGTATGGTGCAATGATATAGTGATTGAATGTAAAAATATTAAGAGAAAAGAAAAAAAAAAGAAAGTATGCTGTTCTGTGGGGCAGTAATTGTAAAATGGTTTATTCCATATCACATAGAATTTAAACCTGTCTGCAGCTTCCTCCACTGCCCAAAGCACCCAACTCTTTTCCATTAACAGGGAGACTGTTGTTCCAGTTCACTATTTATTTAGGTAGAGATTTTCTCAGAGCTTAAAGTAGAACAGATAGTAGCTAGACATGCCCAAGGCCAGAATAACAGTGAATGTACAGTGTTTTGAATAACAGAATGAAATGTTCATAAAATCTGACCAGAAAAGTAACCAAACCACTAAGCTATTTCAACCTGAAATCTAAGAGAAGACTCACATGATTGAATTTGTTAGGCTCCTCAATGTCATTATCTAAGTAACCAAACCTTCTCAAAAAGTAATAGACTCGCTTAAATTTGACTGTGACTTATAATCAATAACAAACTATAATTCGAAAACATAGCCATTGTCTTCATCTGGTCTTAACGTATTTAATTTTTAAAAACACAGAGAAGTTTGGCATTTTGGGTGATTTATTAGAGCTGAAAAACATTAATAATTTCCTTGCTTTTCTAAAGATTGCCACACCAGCAGATTACCAACGACAGGGTTCTTTCCAAGTACCTTTTTTCCCCCCTAGTCACTTGGAGGATCTGAAAATACAAAGTTTACAGTCTTTCAAATAACTTATGACCCTAAAAATTTGTTCCCTACCCCAAGAAACAGAAGAATAGTTATTTCCCTCTTATTCAGTGTTTCTTTTATTACAGATTTGTTTGGAGCTACCTGGGATCTCCTTAAGGATTAATTCAAGATATCTCTTTGTGTACTTTAGATGTTGATAAAGGAATGAATCCTAAACAACAGACATAAATGAACAGCCTCCTAAACTCTTTGATTTCATCATTCAGAAGTAAAACTAATTAGATTCTGATACCAATTTCATACTGAGACATATGAATGATAAACAACTAAAGGTAAACAAATGATATATATCTTTTTTTAAGAGGTTTTTGTGCGCTCGCCAGAGAGAGAGAGACAGAGAGACAGAGAGACAGAAAGTGAGAAATCACCCCCCAGGGGGGATGGCCACGCCGCAATCCCTTCTCCTCTATTCTCCTCTCGAGATCTTGGGCATGCATGCACATGCGCCTGGCGTGAGTTTAAGCCACCGGGTCCGGGACTCAACCCGCAGTCAACTATGTGGGAGTCCAGCGACATAGCCATTATGCTAACTGCTGGGCCCAGATACATATCTTACCTATATTCAAATACTTGGAAGTAACTTCCAAATGCTAGTTAAAAAATCTAGGAGTCATATGGAAGATATTTTCACCATCATAAAAACAACACAAACAAATTATGTCAGTCTTTAGATTCATGTGAAATAAAGCAGGTTCTTAAGTGGATTGAAATCTGATAATATAATGCTACGTAGAGGACTCTAGTTGCCTCTGCTTCAAGTGTTAATATTTTAAAGTCAAAGTATATTATCATTTGTTGTCCCGAGACTTAGCAAAGACAAATAACATTTGTAAATCATAGAGAGAGAAGCCTATATGTTTCTTAACTAAGTCAAATTAATCAATTTATCACACAAATATTTCTTGAACACTATATGCCAAACATTGTTCTTCATGCTGAAAACATAAGAAGAAATAAAATAGACTATGACATAGTCTGATTCTTCTATAGGAATTCTCTTGAGAAAAAAAAAGTAAAGGAATTTTATTTACTTAATTATTTATTTGTCATAGGGTGTCTGCACCTTCCAAAGAGAGACAAAGGGAAAGTGAGAACTCCCCCTCAGGGGAGATGGCTATGCTGTAATCCTTTCTCCTCTACTACCCTCTTGGAAATTTGGGCATGCATGTACATGCACCTGGCATGATTTTCAAGCTGCCAGGTCTGACACTTGAACTGTGGTTGGTCACATGGGAGTCCAGTGCCTTAACCACTATACCACCTGCTGGCTCCAAGATATTCTATTTTTAAAAAGAATTACTTCAATTAATTAATTAATTAATTAATTTTAATATGACCACAGAGGGACAGAGTAAGAAAGAATGAGAGAGGGAAAGTGAGAAAGCAAGTCACCAGGTCTGGGACTCGAACTGTAGTAGACCATGTGGGAGTCCCCCCCTTTAACCACCATGCCACCTGCCAGCCCCAATATACTCTATTTATATTTCTGATATTCTAATAACATAAATCTAAAATGTATTCCACCATATACCAGCATCATATAATTTCATGGAAATATGTTTCAGTTCTTCATGTACATTGTAAAAGCTCTTTCAGAACTAAGATTATCCTATAATTTTTGTATCTTCTATAGTGAAGCCTCATATATACAGGTAGGTTCAGTCATACTCAGTCAGGAAATAAGAACCTATGCCACAATTCAGTATCAATGTCTGACATTTTTGGTTGCTCACAACTGGAGTTACTACTGGCACCTCGCAGATGGCAGCTAGGGATGTGGGCTGCTAAAGAGCTTACAATGCACAGGGAAGCTTCTCACAACAAACTGTCTGGATAAGATGTCAGTAGTGTCAGGGCCAGCAAGTGGCATAGCGTTAAGGTGTTAGACTCCCACGTGGTCGACTGTGGACTGAATCCTGGACCTGGCGGCTTGAAACTCACACAGGCGCATGTGCGTGTGCACCCAAAATGCAGAGAGGAGCCTGAAAGAGAAGGGATTGCAGTGTGGCCATCCCCTCTGGGCATGATTCCTCATTTTCTCTCTGTCTCTCTGGTGAACACACATACCTGAGAGCAAAAGTATCTCAAAAAAAAAAAAAATGTCGGTAGTGCCAAGGTTGAGAAATCCTAAGATTAGTAAAATGAATTTAATATGGAAACCTAAATACAAAAGATTGAAGAGCTGAAAGGCAAACAAGAGATGGTAAGGGAACATAGAGATTGGCAACAGCAGGAAGCTGCTACCACAGCTAGATCTATAGGGAAAAGTGAAGAAGATAATATTACATAGCCTAGGAGCTGGAACACCTGGCAGAGCTGGTATCTCAAAGGAAATGCAGCCAGTGTCATGGACACCTCCAGAAATGAGGAGGAGGAAGGTACCTTGACTTTTCCTCTCATCCTATTCTCTAATCTTCCAATCAGAGTCTCCTACTATCGGGCAAATCTAAGGAGAATATAAACTGGGAAATGTAATTTGAAGAAGTCATCTCCCAATAATATAGAATAAAGCAAGAAAAGAATGAAGACATTGCTCTGAGTAAATAGGAATATGAACAACACAATGATTTAATAGAGTAGTAACTTCAGAGAAAACAGACACAGATTTAAATCCTAGGTACATAACGAATTTCTATTTGTGTGACTTAAAAAGTCAACTAACTCCTAGCCTCAAATTCTTTATCAGTGAAATAGGAATAAAAGTACTTACCTCATGGTATTACTCCGAAATGGATTGTTATACCATACATAAAGCATATAACACAATTGCTGACATGAAATCAGTTTTTAATGAATTATTGCTATATACTCATCTCCCTAAGAGTTTGTAAAATAACAAGCCTTAGTTCTTATTGTTATGAAACTCTTATGTGTCTGGCATAAAGCAGGCCCCCAATAGAACTTGGATTTCTTTTTTATCAACAAATATTTATTTGGCTGGCTGAGTTTCACTTCCTGCCCCTTCATTTCTATCTTCCCATTTCTCAGTGACACTTGCCTTATTTCTATAACATACTCCACTCCCCCATACCATGCCTTCTGAGGGAACAATAAACCAGGTAAAGGTGGTTTCTCGAATGTACCCTTATAATACAAAATATGTTTGTTTTTGCAATAAAACAATGGAAATTTCTGCTTCAAAAAGGAACTGTTAAGACAACATACATTAGCGCCAGCTGGTGACATGGTGGTGAACGTAATTGGATCCCATATGGCCAACTGCATGGTCTGACCCAGCAGCTTGAAAAACACACAAGGTGCATGTGTGAGTATGCCCAAAATTCCAAGAGGAGAATGGAGGAGAAGAGATTGTGACATGACCATACTCCTTGGGGAGTATGTTCTCATTTTCTCTCTGTTTATCTGTCTTCTTCTCTGGCATGCACACATGACCTAAGGCAAATTAAAAAGAGACAGACAGACAGACAGACAACATATGATGGCTTAGATAGGGCTGGATGACCTGAAGCCTCTTCCAGTGCCTGATATTCAACAATTCACAGAAATGTAAAATAAACATGCATGGAGGTTTCATTATCTTAAAGAATAGCCTAAGTGCCTTTTCTGTTATCTGCAGACTATGTCTGGTCCTGTATGTAGCAACAGATAAAATCTCTAGGCCCCTCCTCAGAACTGACAAATTCACTCATAGAGAAATTATTTTGTACCCATATACTTTTTCATTTTTATCATACTCTTCCCCTAGAGTCTCTGAATTGGCATGAAAAGAGTTCTCTACCAAAAATTATCCTTTGCATTCCTATATAAATACATGAGGTAGAAGATTTGGATTGCTGCCTCTAAAGCCATTTGTTCCTTGATCATGCTAAACCTGATGATTTAACAATGCAAACAACTCTTTACTCCAAATTCCTATAGCCCGTAATACACTTTTTGCACCATGTTATCATGTGCATGTGACTTCATAACCACTAATTGTTTTAGGTGTATATGATTCTTCCCATACCCCTCTCACATCCAACTCCTAAACAAAGACAAGACAGTATGTTGTTTACATTTGTACTTGTGATGGTTTTTAGAATGACCACAGGCTACAAAAGTTACTGAAATATAATATGAGTGATGAATTAAGAATAGGGACCAGCAGTTAGCATAATGGCTATGTTGCTGGACTCCCATGTAGTTGACTGTGGTTCGAGTCCTGGACCCGGAGGCTTAAAACTCATGCTGGGGTTTGTGTACCCAAGATCCCGAGAGGAGGATGGAGGAGAGGGGATTGCAGCATGACCATCCCCCCTGGGGGGGGATTTCTCCCTTTTTGTCTCTCTGTCTCTCTCTTTCTGGTGAGCGCATGTGCCCTATAAAAAACCCAAAAAAAAAAAAAAAAAAGAATTAAGAATAAAGAAAACTACTACATGGCTTACTTGAAAGTCGTGTTGCAAAGCAAACACTCCCTCATTCCTTATATGAGTTTGATCAGCTAACTTAAAAGTTTAAGAAAATCCATTAATGATACCAAAAATATAAGCAGAAAAAAATTATAGAGGTTAAGGCACTGGACTCCCACAAAGTAGACGCCTGGCATGTGTGCATGTGTGTGTGACTGAAATCCCAAGAGGAGAATGAAGGAGAAGGGATTGCAGTGTGGCCATCCTCCTTGGAAGGGAGTGTGTGTGATTTCTCGCTTTCTGTCTCTCTGGCAAGCATACTTGCTCTATAGTAAAAATCTCTCAAAAATTAATCATTTTAATCTAAATACTTGTAAACAGCTGACTTCTTTTTAGAGGCTTCTCCATGGACACACCAGAAATAATCTGATTTATCTGGTTGTAATCAAGATGAAGAAATGTAAAGTCAATGATTTGTCTAAGGTCTGTGTTTATACATTTTTAAGGCATTATTTTGTGGTTGCCACATCCCTTTGCCTCCTACTAAAAAGTAATATACTCCAGCTGTTCAGCATGGATACAGAGACAAATGACAGTATGAAGGAGAAAATGACTATGCAGATTTGGAGGTGGGAGGTGGAAAGAATACCATAGATTTGGAGCAATCTATTTCAATAAACAAGAATTTAGTTTTCTTACCCCACGGTACTGGCTTTCATTGAAAATCTGAGGTGGCAGGGGGTACCCTGTGGCTGGCCGACTGTTTTCAGGTACATTTTCTCTCATCCACTTCCGATTCTCTTCATTGGCTGCAATATCCTTTTCTTCATATCCTATTTTGTTAGCTTCTAAGAAACCAAGCACATCTTGCTGTTTTTTCTTAATCTAGGACCCAAATGACAAGAAGCCATATTACTGAGCAAACAGCTTTGTTGTTTTTATTTTTCAAAATCAATAAAAGTCATCATGGTGAGTTAGCGTGAATTCAGACACAAAGCAAAATTTGTAGTTTCACAGAGGATACGATTATTTTTCTTTATTATTATCTTGTTAATAATGTCTTGTAAGTGAGTAGATGAACTTTTAGTCCACAGTTCCTTTTATCAAACTTTTTCTTTTTCCATTGAAAATTTCCACATCTAATGACACAGAGACAAGGCCAGAAGATGCTATCAATAACCTAAAGAAGTGCAGTTAACTCAAAAGTGTGGGACACTGTTTTCTGATTACCTGTAAGTCTTTTTTAGTTTCAGCCCTTCTTTTTTTTTTTGAGAGGTTTTCGCTATAGGGCACGTGCGCTCGCCAGACAGAGAGAGACAGAGAGACAGAAAGCGAAAAATCACCCCCCAGAGGGGATGGTCACGCCACAATCCCTTCTCCTCCATTCTCCTCTCAGGATCTTGGGCATGCACGCACACGCGCCCAGCGTGAGTTTTAAGCCACCGGGTCCGGGATGCGAACCACGGTTGACTACGGGGGAGTCCAGCGACATAGCCATTACGCTAACTGCTGGTTCCTGAGTTTCAGCCCTTCTTTAAAATCTTTCCAAAGGACTCAAATCTACTTCCTGTCTTAACAAACATCATACAACCAAATCAAGAGAAGTTATTTTTTCCTTGTAAATTGCATAACCCCCAGTGTCCATTTTCATTTTACAGAATAGAAACTGAATAAGAAAATTTAAGAGCTATGTCTTCCTGTATACTAAGTTTGCAATAAACCTCTACCACTCATTAGCCCTTATAATGTGCTGCTAAAGTAACTTTTAAGCAACTGTGCTACCTCTTGAACCAGATTAGCAAATAGAGACGACACATTTATTTTTGTCTCCTTATTATACCTAGGAGACAACTTTGAAAATAGTAAAAATAATACTTTTTAGTTAGGTTTCTCCTCTGGTATGCATTTCTTTTAAAACCTGAATTCACACATCTACTGCAATTTATTCATATTTAAAACTATTACTTAAAATTTTTGAGCTGCCAAGTACATGCAATAAGCAATTTTCATCATGGAGTCAGACTAAAGGGACACAGAGGGCAGAAACAAAAGGAAGAAAGAAAGAAAAAGAAAGAAAGAAAGAGAGAAGGAAGCAGTCCTGCCAATGGAAATGAAAATGCAAAATAAAAAACTCACCTGCAGTCAAGCCCCCTCTGGATTTACATACATGTATTCATGTACACAGGTTAAATTTCTGTCTTTCTATGTTGATTGTAATTGTAGGTAAAAAACTGTCTTTCTCATCACATAACCCCAGGACAAAAAGTTCAATTTCTCCCAATAGAAACTTTAATTTTTAAATGCTAATTACATCAGAGTACTGACTGCCCTTCTTTAAAAATCAGTTACAATCTGGCAAATTTACTAGATGGCAATTTTTCTAATGTGAATCCCTTTTCCTTACTGGCTTACAAAATCAAACTTTCATTCCTATACATAATGTATACAACCACTCCTCACTTAACAACCCATCTGTTTAATGACCACTCAGATTTACAACCAGATCTCCAGTGTGGGGAATCCTCTTTATGAGTCTTTGTTTTATTCCCTGCAGTTGGTTAGTATTCACTACACAAAGTGTTCTCAATCAAGCAAGAATACACACTTTATTTACAAATTTGTACTTTATTACCCATAGTAGTATTCAGAATAAATGCCACACTCATTATTGTGTTGTGGTTGGTCTTGTCGCTTTTTGGTGCTTATCTAATGTATGCTTTTTGTATGGATAGAATTACCTTATTCTACTGAGATGCCACATCATATCTATAAAATAATACAGATCCTATGGCACCATGACACACAACAAGATATCTGCCTTTAAGCTCCTCATTTATGGACCAATTTACTTAACAATCTAGTTCAGAAACAGAACTGGGTCATTAAGTGAGGAGTGCCTGAACTCTTTTTTGAATTTTGAGGAAAAGTAATGTAAAAGTCAATAAATAGGAGTATCTAGTAAACCGATGTACTTGATGGAAGGTACAACTAAATCAGTAATTTTCTTTTTAAAAAAATTTTGGGACTAGCAGAAGGCATAATGGATAGGTAGCTGAGCTGACTTCCCAAGTAGTTGACTCTAGTTTGAGTTCCATACCCAGAGGTTTTGAATTCATGTTCCGTGTGCGTATGTGTGTGCCCCAAATCCCAAGAGGAAAACAAAGAAGAGATTGCAGCATGACCATCCCCCTGGGGGGAGGGGGATTTCTCACTTTCTGTCTCTCTGGCAAGTTCGCATGCCCTATAGCAAAACCTCCTATAAGAAAATTGCTATTTTAGGGACCAGCAGTTAGCGTAATGGCTATGTCGCTGGACTCCCACGTAGTTGACCGCGGTTCAAGTCCTGGACCCGGTGGCTTAAACTCACACCGGGCACGTGTGCAAGCATGCCCAAGATCCCGAGAGGAGAATGGAGGAGAAGGGATTGTGGCGTGGTTATCCCCCCTGGGGGGTGATTTCTCGCTTTCTGTCTCTCTGTCTCTCTCTGTCTGTCTGGCGAGCGCACGCGCCCTATAGCAAAAACCTCTCCAAAAAAAAATGCTATTTTAGCCAGCAGGTGGCATAGTGGTTAAGGTGCTGGACTCCCACAGGGCTGACCACAGTTTCTGTCTTGGACCTGGTGGCTTGCTTTCTCACTTTCTCTCTCTCTGGTGAATACACATGCTTTATAGCAAATTAAAATAATAAATAAATTATTATTATTTATTTAAATAATAATCCTTTAAAAGAAAACAATTTGCTATTTTATCTCTTGCAGGAGAGAGACACAAAGAAGGAGGGAGAATGAGAAAGCATCCCCCTATGGGGAATGGTCATCTCACACTCCCTTCTCCATTTCTCCCTCCTTTAAAATTTTGGGCACGCATGCACATGTGCTGAGTGTGTTTTTTAGGCTGCCAGGTCTAAGAGGTTGACCATGTGAGATCCAGCTGTGTTAACCACCATGCCACTGACTAGTCCTAAACCAGCGGTTTTCCAACCTCCATAATATAGTAGGAGGATTCAGCTAATGTGAAATATATCAAGTAATTTGTTGATCTTTAGCAAATTTAAAAATCTGAGTGGAAATGATGATGTGCCATTAATATGACACTTTCAGGAACCACAGTCTAACACATTTTTTCGTTTATTATGCCAAAGGATGTTTGTGTGTGCACACACAGAACAAAAGAGACAGAGAAAAAAAGAAAGCACCGTCTATAAGAGGCCTTGTCATACCACAATCCTTCTTCCTCCAATTCTTCATCTAATCAAGATGCTAGAAATACCTATGTGCATCTGATGTGTAAGTTGCTGGGGCTAGGAATCTAACTCTCATAGGCCTTGTGGGAACTGATTTCTTCTGCACGACATCTAACTGCTGTATTGTGGGTTGGCCCCAGTTTTTTATTTATTTTTAAAATTAATTTATTTTTAATTAAGTGTAGAGTTAACATTATGCCTAACTTGCTAAAAATTATATATGGCTCTGGATATGTCATGTGTGTGTTAACAAAGGACAGAAGACATTAAAGATAAGTGACTTTATGAGACCTTTCCCACATTACTAAATGCTTACTGTTCATATAACACGGGGCATAACAGTAGACCTTCACTGAGGTCTTTAACCTCTAGTCATCAGCTCTAGACCACAAGTATATCTCCCATGCTATAAGACTGCTTTATGTACACATGCTTTCTAGAGGCATTTTCAATAAGGCTGAATAAAAATGAGCCATAATCACACTTTGCTAATATGTTCCGTCATGGCAAACATGAATATTTGTTCAGTTTTGAATCTTCAGGTGATATAAGAAAAAATTGTTTCCTAAATCGATCATATCTATAAGTTCAGAATTTCACATATTAAGTTTATTTCCAAGAAAGAATATTTTATATAGAGAGAGCTGACTGCCCCTCTCTGTATTAGCCAATTCTTAAAGATAACAAAGGGCCTCACAGGCCCCCACCAATGTACTAACCAGTCTTGATTCTACCTCTTCTGTGGGCCCCACACTCTCAGAGATAAGATTCATCTGCCAGACACATCTCAGGGCCAAGAAACTAGAGACCATTATCGTAGCCCAAAGCAGGCTGAAATGATTCAATTAGTCAGTCCAAAATTGTTTACTCTGTTTTACCTTGCCTCTTCCATGGAAACCCCAGCAAAGGCAATGTCCTAAACTCTTTTATCTTTTGCTTCTGACCACCCTGGTACCTTTCCTCATGGTCCTGAAGTCTCTAGAATCTGTGAGTATAAACAACTTTGTTTTTTTCCTGAGTCTCTTCTGAGTGTCTCCTCTGTGACTCCACCTAATTGACCAACTCATAAAAGAATACAAAACATCTTTAAAAGAAGATAAAATGTAAAAGTTCCTACTACTAAATATAGAGCAAGCATAATTATATGATTAAATAATATAGAACAATGAGATGTGAAATGTGGATTTTATTAATAGAGAATCAAAGTGTAAAAAAAAGTTATTGCCTTTTTTATATGCCTACAACCATTTGTTCTCTATAACACACCCCAACTAAGGGACACCTAATGATGCTAGTTTCCTAATTTTCCTAATGGGACTTAAATGATTACAGTGAACAGATGTAATTGAAACCATATATTGCTAGAACAAGTAAGAATGAGTGTCACAAGGACACACCAAGAAATAAAATTTAAATTTCCTACAGGAAAAAATAACTTCAGGGTTAAAAGATTATTAATAATGGGCTGGCTAGTGGCATGGTGGTTAAGAGTGCTGGACTCCCACATGGCCAATCACAGTTCAAGTCCCAGACCTGGTGGCTTGCTTGCTCTCTCTCTCTCTCTCTCTCATGCACTCTGTCCCTGTCCCTCTCTGGTCAAATTTAAACAAATATATACATAAAATTAAATAAATTATTTTTAA